CTAACCTATTCCAGAAATATCCTGTACGTTAAAACTTGCCTTAACTTAAATCAAATGAATACTTTTTATTTATTTATTTATTTAATGAATACTGTGCACGCACAGATCTTTGTATATCTTCGTACATCAGTCTGTACAAGCAAAATAGATGTATGTAAAATACATATTTAAATGCTGCATTAGAGAAGAAGAAAAAATATCACAAGTTCATTTTATCTAGAGATTAGGGCAGTTATCAATGACTGAACAGCTGAAACTGCCGGTCGATATATAGTGGATATCGGTTAAGTCTTTTTTAATCCCGTTATTTAGTTCTGGAAAACCCAGACTGAAGACGTAAAATCTTGAAAAAGATTTATTACGTCTCTCAGACGATAATAAAAAGATTCATCAACATCTACAATAGTTTCCTTCCTGTTATCTTAATCCTCATTACCGTCATCATAATCTATTAAAACTTGTACGATAATCTTTCGAGTGAACAGTTGATATCTTAGATATAAAAATTCTACTGTGTACAAAATTAAGTAATTAAAATAAGTGTGAAATATCAATCAATGACATTTGCCATTAGCGAAGATATCTGAACATTTTATCTTCGTTAACAAAAGTTCAATTCGTACTTGTTATAGTAAAATATCTATATTCTATTTTTCTCACCTTTTCGTCTGAAAAAATGTAATAATAAGATATTACACATTCTTAAGGCATTGTATGAATTAATAATTAATAATATTTCATAACTGCAACGAATAAAGCTATTTAATATATACATTTTACAAATGACTCGTTATTCAACATCGTTGCTTTAAAAATACCTCACACAAACACTTTCATGAGAGAATATTGTAATTACTTAACTATAATAGAAACGCTTCAAAGAAGAATATTCATAGAGAAATTTAACATTAATTAAAGGGTCGCCCAGTGCAAGAAGGTACTACATATACCACAATAGTAGCGTTGTCAGATATTAAGGCTTCTGTGAAAAGTAATGTTTCAATAGAAATTGCCAAATTTTTTCTTTGTTTAAACTTATTCATATGAAGGTAGTGTATCTGGGAAAATGTTTTATTTTTCACTTTATTTTCTGTATGCTTAAATCTGAAAATTGAATTAAAAAAGAAGCTTTGCAAAACATTTCATTTACAATTATTTTACTTGACAAAATTCTTTCTTCTACATTTTGCTTGCATCAAAGTGTATGGAGAAATTCTGAAGGTGAAATCTCATTTTTCAACATTTTCTGGCATAGCTCCCTCTTATACTGTACCCCCCAATTGTCCTACAATAACTCTTCTGCAATAAGCATTTAATAAAAGAAAAATGTTGCCACGTCATTTTTTACAATAACAATAACGCCCTCTTTCCTCTTTCATCAAAATTTCCAATACCTCTCTACAGACGAAAATATATCACAAGGTTACGCTGAACAAAAAAATTGATAATAAAATTTCAACGAAGTAAAAAAAGCAACACTTCTCGATGTATAAGAAATTTTCTTTTTCCAGTAACACGTTCGTATTCGTTTCTTAGAAAATCGATATTTATCGGCAGGAAACACTTGTCGACAATTCCTCCGAAAAAGATTTGATAAAATGCCTTATGTATTATATCTCAAGTCTGATCTAGAATGTGGTGTGACCAGACGGATTTAAAATAATTAATATTTGATGAAACGTTATATCACGAAAATCGCTATGACTACGTTTACGAAGAGGCTAAAGTGAAGATGCTACACGAGTTATGTCGCACTTTAAAAATCAATAATAATCAATACGGTGTGGCACGGTTTATACATTCAGGGTAGGAAGTGAATCACCAAGTACGCGTCCTTCTATTTATGTACTCGACAAAAACCGTGCTATAAGTAGATACAAATAAGTCAATTTTGGTTATAGGTAGCAGTTATATGTTTAATGAACGTGACAATTAAACGGATCTATTAATATGATTCATTTAACAATCGGACACTATTTGAAGTGCAACTGAAACAAAGGAAACTTTTGAACTTGCCACGTCATTTTTACGTATAAATAAGGCACGTGAAAGTGTACGTATAAATATATACATGTACGGAATTCCGATTGGGTTTCGTTGAAATTTCGATTTATAATTAGATAAAGTAAAATTAAAACAGAGGAAAATTTGAAGTTGTTGTAAAAAAACGTAATACATTATCTTTGTCGTTAGATTTACAATTAAGTAGAAAATTTCTGAGTAAAAGTTTTCTTTAATGTTTACACATAAATATTTTGATTATAGTATATAAAATGAGATTTCAGGAAACATGTGAATTTATTGTGCAATAAGTATTTACTTATAGGGATATCGATTATCGTATGAAAATATAATAATTAGTTCGAATAAAATTGAAATAAAGAATTCGCGTATTATAGAATAAAGGAAACTCTCAAGTTTATAGCAACGTCTTAACAAATTAGTTAAAATAAAACTAACGTAGAGAAAAGTTTCAAGTTATATAATTTATACATAACGGTAAATATTTCGCTGGCTTCATAATTACCTAAAGTGAAACAAGAACAAAATTTTCTCGAGTTTTACAATATGATTTTCACATATGAACATTTCATTCATTCATTTTTATCACGCAAATAAGTAGATATTACGATCTCGATGACTTCACAGTTACTTAATTTAACGACTACTTTGAATAGTATTAATGATAACGTAATAATGACAAGTGTGATAGCGTTAAAAACGAACCGCTGCACATTTCTAGCAACATATTTCTATCGTAGCGATTAGAAATGATATTTCGAGCAGAACTTAAATATAATCCGATATTTGGACAAGAAGAAAACCGATGTACATAAATTGAAATCGACGTAATACATACATAGCAAAGAAAGATTTAACGCATTACGAACTGTCGTTCAGTAAACCGATCGCAATGTAGTTCTCGTTAATTCGGATATATACACTAATAGATATACTATATGTACAGTACTCTTTGAAACGTGTTTGACAAAAACGGGCAGCACAAATATAAAGTTCATATTTCGATATTGAGTAACTTCTTCAAAGATCAATTACTCATAGTTAGAAATGTGAAAAAATATTTTCCTTTATTTCTGACAATTCATATTTTGTCAACTCATTGTTGAATTTATAAATATATTATATTTGAAATATATTCGAGAAAGCAGAACACCTAAATGTGATATTTCGATATTAACTTTTCGAAAATAAAGTGATTATACAGTCACAGATGACAAAAATGATTTCCTTTTTACTAGTTAACTGAAATTTTATAAAACCACTGTAAAAAGTGTGAATATTTTCTGATACTGATTTTATTGTTAATTATACGCGTTATTATCATAACCTCTTGTATTACTGTGAAATGACTGAAAATTTTAATGGTAAGTGTAACATTAAAACATGAGAAAATAATTTACTATAATTTTAAGTGAAGCAATTTATGATTTTGTATAAATACATATGAAAATTCTATTGAATAAAGAAGTACAAACAAAATTTATAACATGTACATCGTCGAATCGTTTTCTGGAATATTCTAAAAGGAATACATACAAACTTATGAAAACTTAATATCCTGATCTAAATAAAAAAAAAGTATCTAGATCGAATGTTATACAAATTGAAAAATAGTTTTTCATTCTAATTAGAAATTACAAATAAAGTATTCATAAATACGAAGGTAATTCGTACTACATATGAGTCTCGAATAATTTGGGCGAGTGTAAAAACTTAATTACAATTAGAATATATGCAAGGGACGAAGAATTCACAAGCACAAAAGTAATCGAACTAGCCAATGAACTCATACAGGTTTTTACGATCAGTCTTCGACCGATCATTCTTCGGGAGTTACGTAATTGATCGCCACAAGTTTGCGACAAAATTGCTAGGTCGATTCAGTGTATTAAGCATTACTAAAATCAATAACGCGCCATGCCACGTCGTCGTACCATTCGCCTACAAATCCCGACACTAAGAATAAAAAGTCACTTTCCCACCCAATAATTAATAAAAAAAATCATCCTTACTGTAATAATTCAATGAAAAAACCATCCTCGTATGTCATTCTCATGAGAAACGAAGAAACTAATTGCTGATCCTCCATACTGACTTTATTATACAGTATAGATTCAAACGTGCATTCTTCCTACATCTATGTGTATTGTGTAACGAACAAGCAGAAACTACACGAATGACTTCCTTCCGGTGGTACAGAGTAACGCATAAATCTTATCTGCGTAATTTTTCTGACAGATTCGTCACTTTTAATCCGAGAGTTACGCGCAATCGATTCTATTATTTTACATTCTATCATCCAATGTAATGGAAATATTGTAGGATAATAATTTTATCGATTGATTCTTAAGCCGTGAACATAATACATGTATGTCAATTATTTATCTTCGAGCCGTTTCAACTAACATAATTAACGTTGTACGCTAGACTTTATTTTATACGTCAAAAGACACACGAAGGACGGCTTTTCCTTATTGTAGTACAATGTATGCACATACTTAGATTATAATTTTAAATATAACTAAAATTTCTATGTGTCTACTATTGATTATTGTCGTTAAATGAATGTAGTAGAAAGAATACTAAAGAATTACAGAATGTATGTGTTACGAATGCTTGAAATTTAAAATAAAGATATAAAATTAACAAAATAAAATTCAAGGATTATATTCCTGTATAATAAGAATATTTTCTACAATTTATATTAATGAGCTTTTTATGGTCGCTTAACAAATCCTTAAGGGAAAGATCGAATCTTCTAAATAACCTTCCAATAACGCAGTAGTCAACATAAAGATGTTCAAACACGTTAAATATATCTAGAACGTATTTTAACACCGTTCCAGAAGTATATCCATTGTGAATAGCAAGCACAACGTGCACATGTCATACTATTTCGTACTGTTGTACGTCATACAAATAATTCTTTTGTAATAAATGCGTAACATATAATTCACAATTAACGCCATTATACTTACCTTCATATTGTTCTCGGCGATATACTCCATTGAACATAGTTGATAAACGACGTAAGCACGGAGCAGTTCTTTTGTGGTTTTACTCTTAAAAGCTGCAGTCGGATCGTTAAACTTCAAATCCAAAGGATCAATCTGTCGTGGAACCGGCTTCACGTCAGGAGTAGTGCCAGTGTAATCACGTTCGTGCACCTGCACCAACTGCACCGATGGCTTCGTTACGTTCTCAAGAAACCCGACAGGAAGTGGTAGACACTTCCTTAGCTTTTTACCGGCACTGCAACGCGGCACCGTTCTCAAAAACGCCATACCTTACCGTCGCGTGTTTAATGTAAGAAATGTCAGCAATGTAACGCTGTATTATAGAAAATGAATCACAACCAATCTAACGCTGTGATTTTTTGTTGCTTTCAAGGTTCACTGAAAAAACGAACAGGTGGAAGCAACGTGAATATTTCACTGTAAAACGTAAATTGGGCAAGGCTATATTCTCAGTGACAAACGGGGTAAATCCAACCTGCTACGATCGAGTCGGAGACCCCAATACCAATAGAGGTATCCCGTCAGAGCTTAAGCCGAATCACAAGGTGGGGTACTCGTAGGCATCCAGCGACGTACGAGTCAAGCGCTTACCTTCCGACAATACTCTTTATAACGTGAAATCTATTCTAAAGATTTGTTTAAAAGTAACTTTAAAAAGCGTATGAATTTTTCAAGAAGGATTCTTTTTTAATTTATTGCACATATAACGCGGCTAAGTGAATTTCAATTGTTGTACGTTGCCCCAATTACCACACCGTAACAATAGATACCAGTTCTCTGATTGGTTCGTTGCAGAGGTGTGTTCAGATAGTCGAGTGTGACTGGTCGGTTAAATTTTGGGAAATGCCAATAATTGCGCAGTCGTCTAATGCGCACAGTGGCGCAAAACATATTCTACATTACCCCGAACTGTACACTAGAATTTTATTTAATTGATCACGGTATATATTTTAATGATCGATCATTTAAATTATGAATGGCACTTATAAAATGACATTTTACATATATATTTATTTTTCATATATTTTAAAATATTCATAATACCTTGTGTTCTTAAAAGTCGTATGTTACGCAAATAGTTAGTTGCTTTAGAGTATAGATTATTTGCAGAATGTGCTTAAAAATGAATAAATATTTGTTCGCAAATATTTTTTATTCGTACACGTCAGAATATCTTGAAAATATATTTAAATAATATTTCCACATTATTAGACAATTATTGTGCATCTGTATAATTGCAATGCGCAAAATGCAAATTCCAGTAATATAAATGGATGAACAAATATATTTTATGAACATGTTAAAGTAAATAAGCACAGAAAATACGTATGAAACAAAACAGTATAACTATTTAAAAGATATTTAAAATGTGTTAAAACACCAAAATCAAATTTTTTACACAAACATTTGTTGTATAAAATGTATGAATCACATACTATAATTTATGTAATATCAAACGCAGTCGTCAATTGAAATATAATATTTTCAATTTTATATATGATTATTAATGTTGCTTACACGATTTATTATATTGAAGAATATAATTTTAGCGATAATTTTATAGTTTAATCATGTTTTATGCTATTAATTTCATATATTTTGTTATTATATTGATACTCAATATGCGATATATAATAACCAATAAAATTGTTTCATTCAAAATGGTAAAAGTTGAAAGAAATAAAATAATATGTATGGCAACTGCAAATATTTATTTTCAATATAATTCATTTTTGAAATCATTCTACCGTAAATATTACTCAGAAGTCTATTTTATTTCTGTTATTATTCTTTATATCATATTATATGTAAGAAGTATGTATATAATTTTACTTTTTAAGCTACATTTTTGTCATAGAAATATGATTTAATAT